AGGGCCAATTTTCCCAGAAGCCAATTAACTTATCTGTCTTTGGACTGTGGGAGGACACTGGAGCAACCCAGAGAAAAAAAAAATTACCATTAAAATTCAATGCACATAGCACTTCAGGTCCCAAATTGAATCCAGGTCCCCAGATACTAAAATACTAAAAGCTAAACATTGTGTCACTGTGGCAGCCTGCAGTTATCCAGGCCATTGGCTTAACACATTATAAACTGCACTGGTGGTATTTTACGTGATCCTTGTGGTTCACTACATTCCAGAACTTTTCTGAAATTTGCTTTGACAATTTGTTTTTACCCTTCTGAATATTTAGTTCTTGGGTTCTTCTGTGCTCTTAGTTTGAAGACATACTGTGTTAGAAATAATTATGAGAACCAGAGAAGATAGTGAGTATATACTGCAAATTAAAAGCAAAAAACAAACATCAGCACATTTCATTATAGTAGAAGAAACACATTGTTCAGAACATTAATATCTGGGTATGAGCCCTTTGCTTTGCAGATCGTAGCCTTGTGTCTTCATGTTCCCATGGCTTTGTGGGTTTTTCTATGTTCCAAACAGACATTCAATACATTGGCTGTATGCATGAGGTCATTTTGAAAGGCACGTTCCTGCAGAGATACCATGATTAATCAGTATGTGTTGTGCTGAGATTTAGGGGAGTATTGAAATTTATGCACTGTAGGTCTCTGACACCCTTGACTTTCACCATGCCAGATATCTACCGGACCATGACAGCTATTCACAGAATGGAAGAGCTTTACGAGCTATTGGCCAGTTTGACTTTTCTTCCTTGACCTCTTCATGGTTTTGCATGTGACCTGTCGATAGGATCAATGGTAATGATAGGAGTCTTTTTTAGCTAAAACCTGTACTTCTATAAGGTGGTCATGTGTCATTTACTTCCCAGGAGTCACCTCGTTTCAAACTCTAAAGTCATATCACTACCCATACTTGTGGTACACAACTTTGTAATGGTTTGGCACAGTTACATTGCCCATCAGTCACTGAGCCAATTCAGCATAATACCCCATTCAGCAATGTTACATTTTAACAGAAAATATATTATTTTATCATGCACAGTATACTTTAAATTATGTACTGACTTTGTCCTTTCCTGCTGTAATTGTTCTTAGTCTTGTAATTGGCTACCGCATTTAGATAATTCAGGCAGCTGCCATTAATCTCAGGCTTCTTTAAAGTAATAGATTCAAGACTAGCAGGTTAATGTTTTAAAATTCAGATTCCTACAGGTTCTGAGCTCTGCAGTGTACTGAGCAGCTTTAGAAAATGTCTTATTTAATAGCTCAGTTACTACTACAGCCCCTGTAGTATACAATATATCGTTCTTTTTTCTTGCACACCATGTGCTGGTATTTTATGTGACTATACCCCATTGAAAACACAGCTGAAAAAGAGATGTGTCTTTGCACCCAAAGTTAGTAATTGTCTTTTTGTCATTTACTGTGATCTAAAGTAAAGAGTATATGGAAAAGAGATTGACATATTTGCTAACAAAAGCAAAGAAAGAACAGGATAGAAATATTCAATAATTTTTAAACAGGACCAGAAATTAAAAAAAGATCAATCATGCACTTACTGTATGACAGGAATTTTGTAAAAGTCATTCCGATAGTGTCAAATCAAATACATCACACTTCAAAAACATCTTGGTGACATTACTTGGATTTGTCTTCATTTTACTCAGCAATATCATTATTTAAGCCCTTAAAAACCCAAATACAACACAAATATAAGGAAGATGATATGAAAAATGAGACTTGGCAGGAATTGCTTATTTCACATTGTTGATACTGTATATAAGAAAAACGGAAAGCCAACAACCGTGGTAAGTTATTTTTCAGTTACAATCAGAAAATACATTTGTGTATCGGCGATTTAATTTTTTTATTTTTTCCTCAGATTTGCTCTTTCTGGGCCCTTTTTCATGAATATAACAGCAACTAAACCACATTTCCCTTTTAGATTTTTGTGTTTTTGTGATTTTTGTGAGCTTGCAGAAAAAGACATTTCATTGCCAGCAAACCGTATTGTTGTGCATTTGATAATAAACTTTGATTTGATTTAATTTGATTTTGATTAATATACTTACTGAAGTACTGTCAAGCTTTGTACTGTCAAAAAAGCAAAAATCTTGGCCAGGATTTACTCCTCACGCTCATTGTTCTCTGTTGAAAATTACTATTTTGCTAAAGCTCAGAAATATGGAGCATTTATGCCTCATGTTGTGCAGAGTTTTAATCAGCATGCCTTCATAATGAAAAGGCAGTAAAACCCAATGTGAGGTCTGTCTCTTTACAGTACAAAATTAGAAATTGTAGTGACTATACCCCTTTTATTGTGTCGGAACATACTGTAACTTTCCATTATATTTTTCAGTTATGTATCTACACTGATGTACAGTACAGATACCGTACGCTGTGATATTCAGTTTTATAATGCATTTTTATAAGCCACCTAAGAAGGACATTGAAGGGAAGGAGGGTTGGAGCTGCGATCTAAGAGCATCCTCATATTAAGAGGTTAGGAGAAATGAGTAGTTAATTGTAGAAAGGAAAGTTTTATGGGAATAGTTTGAAACTTTAGGATTCCCCAACAGGCCTTAAAGTCAGTGCAAAACTGAAACAGGAAAATTTTCTGGAAGCCAGAGAAAAGAAATGTATTTTTAAAAAGTAGGTTCATGAATTTTGTTTTCGTTTGTTTTTTCCAAAACACTGATATCTACTGTATATGAAAATGCTAAAAAAACTGAGATCCTATGGCAAAGTTCGTGGAGCTGGATAACATGTTCTATTACATTGCCTGTGTGGAAGGCTTCGTTTTGTTCACTAATTTACAGTATGTTCTTGTGTCATTTTAAAGTAGTTTTTAGTTCATTTATAAGATAAGACAAACTTGCTTTTCGTCTTGTAAAGCAAGTTTAAGTAATAGATATGTCATATAAAAAATGAATTTGTAGTTATCAACTCTTAATCCTGTATTCATAAGAATTATTGAGAGCTTATTATAAAGAATATCAACCTATCAGAAAGCCATTAGTACTGGTGAGGTTTACAGAAGCCTGTATAGGAAGACACATTAAGGAAGCACAGGGTGTTTAGCTGAACAGAATGCATCTAACAGTTCTTGGCCTGGAATAGATGTCCGTTGTTCACAACAGAGAGAGGCAATTTAGAACAGTCGACACAACCTAGCCATCTTGTGTTTGCAGATTGGAAGAACAAGAACAAACTTGCGTACTAGATGAGAACGTGCACACTCCACACAGAGGGTGCCCCAAGCTGTGATTGAACACAGGGCCCAAGAGTGGTGAGGCAGCAGTGCTAACCACAACACCGTTGTATCCACTATGCGGATGATTTTTCCCATAATCATTGGTTTCTTGCTTGGGATCTGGGAGAATTCCAAAGTGAAAATTGCATTGTCGATCACATACTGGAAAACAATATTATCAATTTGTTTTGAAGTGTTGAGACTCCATTCTACTTGATTACTATTGTAGGTGATGTGTCGGGGGTGTGACACATCAATTAGCTGAGATTCAGTGAGGTTAGTAGAGCTCAGTAAAGTTACCTTGTTCTAATGTTTTGAGATAATGGGTATTGTTTTTCTGTATCAAAAGAGTGTTCTGAATAATCTACTCAGGTTGTTTCATTTCACTGTAAATCATTAAGTCAGCATTCAACAGTGAACAGTTAATAATCCAGTCTCCATAGGAATGGACTATGACATAAATACAGGAGCAGACATCACCTATCATCTAACATCTTCATCAGGCATGAGCGAGTTCTTCATTTGAGTTCTTCCTGTTATAAATTAACTTTATAAACTAAATTTAACTTTTGAAAAGAATGTGAAATTGAATTTCAATAGAAATTGAAACCACATTCTGTCCAGGTTGTCTAACAGCTGTAAAGCACTAGAGTCAGAGCCTTATTCTATAAAAGAACTTGCTGTCCTATTTATTTTGAAATTATTATTTCCTTTGTTGTGGAATCACCAGGCTAAAAAAAACATCTGCCCTATTTTTAGTGATGCACTGTTAGAATAGGGAAGTTGGTTTACATTCCTTTGTGAGCATCAGTTTAGAGAGGGAGATTTTAATCCCGGGTAGAATCTATTTTGCTTATTTGTGCACAGGGGCTCTCTATGGTTAATTGTGTCTTGTCATATTTAGGACAGAATTCTGGGATCTCTTATGTAGAATGTAGGGCTCTGAAACTCAAAGACTTGTAAATATCTATATTTGTAACTGTTATATGTTGTGTAACAGGTTGGTAAAAACCCATTACTTTCTGCCTTTTGTGGGCATGCAATAACGGCTTCAGTGTCAGGATAGGGGAGAATTAATCTATTGATCATTACAAGAGTATAGAGCTCAACCTGTACTCAGCTTTGCCAGTTGAGCCATTCAGGAGCAGTGTTCTTCCTGTGACGGTGAACCTCTGTGCCCATTTAGGATCTGCAGTGCACAAAATTGAGGCCAGCCTGATGTGATATGTCTCAAAAGTGCATTTGTTTGAAGTAACTCAGTTTGAAAGAAAAAAAAGAAATTTGCAATTGTTGATTAAATTATTAGAAATGGCAAGAATGCATTTTGGCCACTAGATTTATGCTTCTTAATGTGATCCTGCCATGGTGTACCAAAAGGCAATATCTCCTAGAATCATTGCAAATATCATAGACTTACGTTTTATTAAATGATTCACATGGCTTAGTCTTTGCAGTTGAAAAAGTGTATTGGTATTAACATGAGTAGCTTTTATTCTACTAAAAGACCCATTATTTCCTAATTTATCCCACAAATTTACCATGCAAAGATGCTGTGAATGAGTTAACTAGTCTTACAGATTATTTAGGACCAACATGTAGGGTCAGTTAATAGCAGATGCGAAAGTTCCTTTTTCTCCCTATTGTTATTGGATCTTTCATTGAGTAATGGGGCTTATTTTCCTTTTCTCCTTTAGCAGAAAGACGTATCGGACAGTGCAAAGGACGTGTCCGATGACGGATCTGAAGAGAGCAGTGGCAATCACTCAGACTCCCAGAGCACAGAGAACAGCAACAGCACCAACAACGAAGACGGCAGGAAGGGCAAGTGGAGACGGAAAGGTAAACTGGACTTTATGGTGCAAAACATGATTCCAGCCTATGATTTAGACTAGCATAGAAGAATGTGGCATGAGAACAAGGATTCCAGACTGTGCTCGGGAAGGGACATTACTTGACAGACTTGTATTCAATTAGCTTGAAACAATAATATTTTTCTGTCAAATGTGCTATGCTTGGGGTGGCACGGTGTCACAGTGGTTAGCCTTGCTGCTTTGGTGGCGCCCTAGATTCAATTCCTGGAGTGTATGTTCTCCACATGTTTGTGTGGGTCTCCTCCAGGTGCTCTGGTTTCCTCCCACAATCCACATATATGCTGGTAGGTTAATTGACTTCTGGGAAAATTGGTGTTTGTGTCTGTGTGTACCCTGCGATGGGCCGGCAAAATCAATATTTTCTAAGTGATTCAAAAAACCCTCTCAATTGCAATTAATTGACTGATCTAATGATTTCAAAAGTACAGTATGTTGACTGCCTGATAGATAATAAAGTAAAACATTTATTTTTCAATTTAACCATGTTAGAATCCAGCTGGAGTATTCAGTAGTTTGTCAAGGTTACTGTAATGCAGAATGATAAATCTATCAATCAAGGTACCCCCAAATTATTTTGAATGTTCAGTTTCCCTTCTCTTGCTGTGATGTGCTGTGCTGTGAATCTGTGCTGCGAATCGGTGCTGTTCAGCCGGGATGCGTGTTTAATTGTACATTATGCGTTTTTTACATATTGTGTTATCCTTTAAGCAATTAACTAAATATCATACAATTATTGTAAAGTATTTTGTACATTATACAGTTAATTTGTCATGTGTTCTTTCTATCTTGAGAACTGGATCACATTGCTTTAAAATGGACCTTGCATAATAAAGAAATAAATAAAATCCCAAATCATCATAATCTAACTATATAGTATGTTTTCATTCCAAAAGAGCAGAAGATCAAAGTCAGATGAAATGTCTAAACACTTAAATTAATAATTCATTATAGTCTTGAATTAGGTCATCTGGAATGAAAACTATAAAAAGTTTACAAAAGATTGCTCTGGGACCAGGTTGAAAAACAATGCTTCAGTGCCTCAGTATTGGCCTCAGAAAGCAAAGAGATGCTTTCCAACTCAAACACTATTTAAACAACTATAATTCTAATGATAAATATTGGAAGAGATCTCTGTAAATCTGTAAATCTTATGACATATGCAGTGAATTTCTCAGAATATGGGTATTAGAAGTTTCCGATCGCTGAACAAAACTTCAGCTTTGCACACATTTGAAATGGCTGCATGGAAGCAGTGAGCATTACTACAGAATGTCCTAAGATATTTCAGTGTGGTTTACTTTTACAGCATCTTCTAGCCTCTTTGTGACCCCAGGCTTCCCTGGAGTACACACTCTGCAAAGCAGGGCTGAAAAGCACCTTATTAAGCAGAACAAAAAAGTAAATTAATCTTAATCAAATCCTTAACCAGACATGTGCTGGATAAATGTGAATATGTAATATGTAATGTAATCATTTTTTTATATATTTTAAAGGAAAGCAGATATAAGCCAGCAGGGATTTTCTCGTACAGTTTATTCCTCCATTTTCTAACCGGTTTATCCAATTCTGGGTCACGGGGGAGCTGGAGCCTATCCCGAAAAGCAACGGACACAAGGCAGGTTACCCCCTGGATGGGACACCAGTCTATTGTAGGGCAGATGCAGAGGCACAAGTAGACACTGAAACCAGGACCAATTTTCTTAGAAGACAGTTAACCTTCAAGTATGTCTTCAAGTTGTCGAAGGAAACCAGGGCACCCAGGGGAAACACGTGCGAACCTTGGGGGAACATGCAAACTCCAAGCAGACAGCACCCCAGGAATTGAACCCAGGGCCCAGTTCTGCAAGGCAGCAATGCTTATGAAATTTATTAATAATTGAGTTGAAACAGGAACAAAAAAATGTTTGGGTAAGATTTATAACTACAAGGGTGTGAATATATGTTACCACTGTGTTATCTTGGTAAATCTGTGTTTGTGCTAAATTATTATGGTTACAGTATAATCATTTTACATTTTATAAAGCAAGATAATTGTCCAATTGGTAAACTTTTCTGATGTATAATTTTGTTCCTGTTGCATTAGAGGTTTTAATAAATCTGTTGTTTCAAGTGACCATCAGTACATTTCAGTACATTTATAAGAGTACTTTGATAAATACAAAATTTCCTTTAAATTAACATTCATATGTGTCTCAAAAGTACAGGATATGCAGCTTTTATGAATATGAAGTGAACAGTTGTCCTTATTCACATTTTTATGGCTTACAGTGTTTTCAACTTTTAGTCTTCAGTAAGAATTGACATGCTCAGTAAATCTATTAGCAGCAGATATGGTACCTCAACTAGTACTTAAACAAAAGTACCTTTTTTGCTTTCTAGGCTTCTACAGTAAGACACTGGCACATTCTTTTTTTGTATTTCTCATTAGTGTTCTACAATTCATAGGGCACATATCTTTCTCCATTCTAAATATAGACTTAATGCTTAACTACAGGTGATGTTCTGTGGTGTTTTTGGAGGCAGGTTTACTGCATTCAGAACATGTCAACATAGTCAGGAAAGGGTGAGTTGCCTTTAAAACCTTAAAACTGCGGAAATGGGTGAAGTGGAAGTGAACTAAATAACCCCTTCTGAGGCTTTTCCAGTGTGTATTGGATACATACCAACACTGATTTCTCTATTTTAGTTTTTGGTCTGTCTGTTCAGTGTGTATTACTTAAAATAAAAAATCAGGAGCCTTGCACGTATACAGTTCTTATAATAATATTCTATCGTTAAAGAGTAATTCTGACATTATTTAAATCACAGTTGGAAAAAAAAACTCACTAAAGAAACGATAATTGAAATTGTTCTCATGGTATAAATAAAATTCAGGTAATAAAAATTAAAAAATAAATAAAATTCAAAGTAAGGTAATGATTGTGTGTAATAAAATTAAATCTAACGAACCAGCTTATCATTAATAGAGACCAACAGGGAGGAAGAGCAAAACTCACTAAATGTGGTTGTACTGCAACTGCTCTAAAAAAGAAGGTGTTTGACTTCACTGCTGTCAATAGGAAATCATCCAAACCACAAGCACAGAAACTCAGCATTTAGCTTCTAGCGTAGTTGCATTGTAACTTCAGTTTATTTTTATTTTGTGCATCACAGTGGGTATTCAGAGCACACCAAATTAAGTATACTAATCACATATATATTGTCTCAGCTAACTTGCAGTTTGAGAAGTCATTTCTTTCACATAGGCACCCTAAAACAGGAAGAAACTTTTTAGATAACATCTGTGACCACTTCCTTATATGCACAAATGTAAAAGAGCTGTTATAAAGAAAATATTAACTCTACTTCAAAGCACCAGGGAATCCACTTTTATTGGCTTCTGTTTCATTTACAGTACATTGGCCAATTGTGAGCTCAGACAATACAATAGAAATACAAAGTCGAGTAAACAGGAGTGTCCTCCGTATGATAGATCAGAAAACTATACCTATTTAATCAGCAAAGAAGACCTATAAAATGCTCAACAGACAACAGTTTCAAGATCATCTTCGAAGTAAGTGAAAATGACGGTTGTTTCTATTCAAATGGGAATTTAAACTATTCTTTTGTTGTGGCAATGGTTGTAAATTGCAGAAGAATTATAATAAATAGGCACGGTAAAATCAAACAAAAAAACAAATGCCTTAGCTGAGCGCTCAAAGAGCCGTGGAAATTAATTAGTAAGACACCATTGCGAAATGTTAATGGACTTAACTTGGTGGGCAGCAATTAGGCAGTTTCGGTGCATTAGGCATTCCACTTGTGCCTTTTTAATGTTTTGTTTGCTAACATTGTGAATTATTACGTGCTGTTAAATTGTCTCTGTCAGATTAATAATGCCATAAATAGAATAAACAAACTGAAACCTGCAGTGTTCAGCTGAAAAGAGATGGACTTGCAGTTAATAAGACTAGTTCAAGGTTGAAAAAGCACAGCTAGAAAGTGTATTTGCCTGTAGAGAGAAAAAAAGGAAATTGCTTTTCAAATATACAGTGCTACAGAACTGTTTAAACTGTAGACAAGATTTATACTGTACACTCATTTTGTCATGCATGTGCTGAAATCATTCTATTCATTCAAAATACTACTGGTATTTTGCAAATCTGAATAGATTATAAAATGTATTGTGCTCCAAGCAGGATGGGCAAATATTAAAAAGAAAGAAAAACAAGTTCAGAACAACCTTAATACTCACAGAGATCTTTTTTTTAATTTAGATCAGTGCAATTAATAAAAGGTGTACAAATGCCAGAGCTTATACTACTGTATGATTTATAGAATATAAAGTGTTTAATATCCTTTTAGTGTTTTTTATTTGAAAATTTGTTACAGGTGATAACATTTTGGCACATCTGAAGAAACTCTACTTTTCCAGATAAAATACTTTTTCAGTATAACACACACCATACGGTACTTTGCAAGACCCAAACTGTGTTATGTTTATTACTGCAAATAAGTAAATCATATCAAAAGTTGTTTTCATACAGTACCTGTGTATAAAATCAGGCTGAATCTTTCATTCATCTCTTTTAAGTAGTGTAAATCCCTGTTTTTTGTTGTAAAATACTTAAGATTAAGAAAACCTCATTCTACCAATCCAGTCAGGTCAAATTAAAAGGAAGTACTTGACGTTTTGAACAATCAGGCTAATGATCCTATACCAGCAGTGTAAAAAGTTTAAAAAATAATTAAAAAAATATTTTTTAACTATTAACAATGGCATTAAATGAATAGCTTTGAAAATGTTAGCTTTTTATTTTGGTTGTAAACTGTTAAATCTCAGACACAGCTGTACAAATGTTGAAAACTGAGATTTACAGTATACAGCATACATTTTTATGAAGTACTGTATGAAGGATTAGAAGTACTGTATGTGTAAAGAAAGAGGTTACTTAGGAATGGACTGGTGTAATTGCTTTTGTTTGTCTTATTTTTTGGTGACCATTGTAAACAGATGTACATTAGACAGAGTACATTTGCCAGATACAGTATTTACTTTTAAGCTTCCCATATAGAGCACATTACTATGACTTATATACCAGTATACAAGTGTAGGTCGCTTGGCAGGCAAACTGTTTTTGCACTGGGTGGATCCAATATTCCGGGTAGCTTCAGGGACTTGATCAACAGTTTGGTAAATGTTAGAATTACAAAACTCCTCATAAATATTTTAATTTTCAGGCTTTGAAAATAAAGTCCCATGCTGTTAGACGGGTACGCTGATTAAGCAATTTGGTGTATTTTAGAAAATGTCTGGAATCTGTTAAAGTGATGGTTAAAGATTTGCCATTGATTACAGAAGCAACGTTTCTGGATGGATTTCTCTTTATTGAATAAACATGTTCTACACAAACTGGGTAAATATTACACAAATGTTGAAATTTAATTCTTTAGTATTTTATGACTCTGTGTTTTGTCATGTCATACACATGAATACAGTATGTAGACCAGAATACCCTTTGTGAAGATAAATATCGAAAAGCTTCCAAATTCCAAAAAATGCTGATAATATCAATCAGCCACAAACTTGTTAAGAAACTTTTTTGTCAAATCTCTTAGCCTGTACCTCTGCATACTACAGATATGTTTTATTAGATATCATCATTAATGTGACACAGCCTAGATTTCTGGCACATAAATAGTTTTCCAGTCATGGTTTTCCTGATTCCTGATTCTTTCATGTAAAGTGTTAACACATTTTGCAAGTAATTACCAGTAAAAAAATGGTAAAATTTGTTACATTTGTGTTATATCAGCATATTCATCATAGTCACATAACAATGACTGCGATAATCAGCCTCATTGTTTTTCCAGATACCAGATCCTTCTGTCCTGTTTTTTTTTTCTGTAGACCCTGCAATTTGTTGCTCCATATTAAATAAGAAGAGATCTAAAAAGCATTTCTTGAAGGAATAAAGCTGCCCATAGACACAAAACACACAACAGGGCAGTTGGTATTAATTCTAGTACATTTCTTTTTGCTAAATATTGTGTAAACAGAAATAAAAATTCCAAAAATTCTTGCACATAAAAAGAGTTTTATAGTTTATGAAAGGTGTACAAAGTGTACAATTTCAGCTCTGGCTAGAGGGGACTACATAGTGAGGGTGATTGATTAAGTTACGGTACATATGTTTATTAGTTTTTATATCATAAATCGGGCAAGTTAATTTCTGCTGGGAGATTAAATTGTATGCAGTATTTGTATTGGTGAGTTTCATGTACTAATGCTTATAAAGATGTAAGAACCTGTTAACTAGAATGTGTTCTGTTAATTAATCTCCACAGTGTAGAAATGGGTCAATTGATTAATTAAATTAGGAAACAGTAGGAAAAGGTCATAATTAGATTTGTAATGTTGTTTTACATTTGGTAAAATAGCGAATAATGGATCAAAGGGATATTCTTTATCATGTTTCTGTTGCAACTTTGAACAGATAGATAACTTTATTTTCTCATTTTATAGTGTGTTTTTAAAGGATGTATTTATCATTAAGTGGAACAGTACGACAGACAAGACAAATGATTTTCTTCTAAAAGAATTGAAGGTTGTATTGTTCCTAATATAGCTGTTCAAATGGAACAGTATGAATGTACTGTATGAAAGCATACATTGGTAAGGAAAAGACAGACTGAATAATGTAAAGGAAAGCATGAGACTGCATCTGAGTACAGTATATTTGAAGTGTATTAATAGATGTAATGAGATGTGTGCTAGGACTGCAGATGAGTGTTCTTAGTATATGTTTGACAGCTTCCTCATTGGAGTCTCATAAATCCTTTCAGGTAGAGACTTACAGTAGTTGGAGTGCAAACAAGTGTTGTGGTAAAATGTCCTGATTTATTTAACCTCTGACCGACTACAAATGTCACAATATGATTTTAGCATATTTTGTTTCTTTAAAATAAAACTATAATACTGTTCATAGTTTAATACAAAAATGTTTCCCTCCAGAAAAATTAATGTTTATGCTTGCCAAGATGTGTCAGCTATTTTAGTGGGGTTTTAGAAATGAATACAACTTTCCCTGACAAATAGTTTTCTCTGGGTTTCATCACATTTCCCTTTTGCTTCTTTTTTTCCATTAAAATGTTCCTGAAGGCAGTTTGTCAGATAGAGTATGGTTCTGCAGTAACAGACAGATGTTGAAATGTTTCGTTTCCCAGACATTTTTTAATGTTAAGACAGTTTGCCTCTTATTCTTTGAAAGTCACATCAGATTCCAATTTTCAGTACCAATTTATCTTCGTAAATTGTAGAGTGTAATTAAAAACAAACTAACCACCTGAAGCTAGACTGACTAAAAATTCCCACAAGACACAGAAAATTGGCAGTAAGGAAGTAACAAACTTAAGGAAATATGATATTCGACATAATTATTCCACAAGAGAATACTGCAAATTATTGTAAACTTCTTTCCTGTACCAGCTTGTACAATAATGTAAATTAATGCATGCCAGGGCATTATAAATGAACATTAGTCTGGGAGATAATCATGATGCAGAACCTTTCAAGAGCACAAAGGGGGTTAATTAACTTTCATTTCATAATGTGCTTTGAACAAAATTCAATAACTATACTTGGCACAATATTTGACATCCAGGTGCACAATAACTGTATCTTTAGAGTTCTTCACTGGGGGGATTGTATTAATTAACGTATTTATGTAACTGATACTTTCATCCAAACTAACAACCAAACTGTACCCATTTACTGTATACTGTATAGTTGGGTATTTTACTGGAACAATTCAGGTGATGTACCTAGAAGTAGGGTACAACAACTGCATCTCACTGAGGATTTGAACCCTTGATTTTACAAGTTATGATTCCAGAACCAATGTTCCACACTACTGGCCCCTGAAAATGTAAAGTGTAACCAAGTTCTGCTTAAACATAAGCTTACAGAGGAAAAAAAAATGACAGTAACCTTATAATAATCTATACTTTCATAAAGAGTAGCCTGGCCAGCAGCCATATCACCCTGCAACTCACATCCGTCACCCTGTTGAAAGTAAGCAGGTGTGAGCCTGGTCAGTACCTGGATGGGATTACTCCCAGGAAAAACTTGGAGGAACCAGGAAACCAACCAGGAAAGGTTGCTATTGGAAGAGATATTAGAGGATGCTGATATAGTGACTGGGGCACTTTACTGTAAAAAGCTATTATCCTTTGGATGAGACATAAAACTGAGGTCCTGACTCGCTGTTGTCATTAGAAATCCCAGAATGTTTCTCAAAAAGAGTAGGGTAGTTACCTTGACATCCTGTCCAAATTTCCCATTGGTTTTTACCAATCTTGGCCTTGTAATATTCCGAATATCTTAATTGGCTTCATCACTCTGTTTTCCTCCCCACTGATAGCTGATGTGTGGTGAGCATACTGGCACACTATGGCAGCCGTCACATCATCCAGATGGGGGCTACACATTGGTGGTGGTGGAGGGGAGCCCCCATTACCTGTAAAGCGCTTTGAGTGGAGTATCCAGAAAAGCAATGCATAAGTGTAAGGAATTATTAATATAATTATTAGTCTAGCCTGCTTTCACATTCTCAGTAATTATATTGTTATCCCTAACCTGGTCTTCTTTTAAACTATGTGGTATCTTAGTAGCCCCAAAAAGGTCACTGCTTTCATTGCAAGACAGATCAAGCAGACCATTTTGTTTTCTGATATACTGTAAATCCACTGTGTGTCTCTGCTTAATGACATACAGTATGTGAAAACTGGTAGAATGCAAATTCTTTTGTGTGCAGTTAATTCCTACATTGGAGTTTTATGACATACTGTAAGACAACAAAAATCCTGGTATTTAGCTTATAAAACAAAAAAGTGCACTCCACCTTGAATGTGTTACTTATTATGCAATAAGAAGAAAGAAGTCTAATGATGAATGAAGGCATCTTGTCAGTATCTGTAAATGTAATGTGCTACGTCATTGCATTGAAAAAAATCTATGTTTAAGACCTATCCATTTTTGTAAAAGTATACAATGGCTTTGGCAGAGGGGAAACATTCTGTGAAAGAAATTGCTTTAAAGGATTTAAGTGGGGTTTCCTTGTGAATCCATCACAATCTCTGACTCACGATCTTTCCTTGAGCATGATGTGAGGTATTTGTGCAGATAGTTCAGGGATGTTATGTCTGAAGGTTCCTTGTATTGCTGTTTTACAGTGTCCTCCAAACTTCAATCTCAGCCATCCTCGCCACAGTCCCGGTGCCAGTCACCCTCTATTCCTGCCAGCAAGCTCATCTCCCCTTCACAGAAGCACAGCAAGAAAGCCCTCAAACAGGTACCGGTTTGTCTGCTCTCTATAGATTTCATCATGTGTACTGGTCCTCTTGTACTCTACTTTAGTTACGCAGCAGTTTTTTTTTCAATCAAATGTCAGGAATGTTTCAGAATGACTTCTCCTGTCTGTATCTAAAACAGAACCTCGTGTTTTTAAATTCAGAAATGTTTGCTTTGGTGAAAAGAAAGCAAAAATGAATGGAAAAAAAACTATTGGAATAAAATCACTTAATGAACTGGATTAAGATACATCATTCCCTACAGCCAACTCGTGTTACACGTACTGTGTACTGTGCACACCACAGAGCCTGCTGTAGCAATTTTGACTGTATTTTTTTTAGTGACATGAGATAATGGAAACAAAAGCAGACTTCATGTTTAAAAACACAGTTCTGTTTTATGTCTACCAGGCTTTTCATCTCAATTGTGGTATATAACTTTCAGTAAAAAAAATAAATTCGACATATTGTTTCTGGTATTGTGTTAGTTTCCTTATATACTGTATACGTTTCCTTATACGGTGACATCACCGCTCTGGTAAGCCGGCTCTTACACAGTCTCTGTCGGCAGTAAGCGTTACAATATCATCAATATTGCTCAAGTGGAACGTGTCTTTGAAAGCACATGTATAGTACTACATTATTTGAGCTCCACAGTGTTTTCAAATATTCACTGATTTTCCTCATAAATGTTATATACTAAGAATAACATTGTGTAACCAGTACCAGTAACCAGTACAGTAAGATATAATATATATAATGTCTTTCTCATTTTAACCCTTGTTGTGCTGGTAAGGACAATAAAAGATGGAGGCTGAAGATCATACAGTATGCTGTACCACTACTTGACTGGAATGCTGCTTCTCCTAAATTAGGTCAAGCTTTGCTTGCTGTCACAGCAAGCACATTTAGCTAATGCTATTTTCCATACCATTTCTAACTACTGTATAATAAAAATGTTGCATCCTAGACTCTTAAAATACAAATTTAACAAACGCTTTGTATTTCCTCTTCTAGTTTGTTTCATACTGAAGCACTGTGAACCCAATCCATGGTTGGTCATTTATTTCTGTAATTCTGAATCATTGTGTTTCCCCCACCAATTTTTTTTCTTATCTGTTTTCAACCATAGTCTGTGACTATTTTAAGAGTTGCTTCTTGAGAGTTTTACATGTGTTTGTGATTTGTAATTTATAACTGAACCTAGAGCCTAACCTTCTTCTTTTTCAGTTCACATACATTAAGTCTTTTTTTGAAAAAATATTCTTAAATTCAACTGATTTATATGGCGGAAAAAAGTGAAATCATGTCTAATTTTCCTGCTTTGATAAACAGTGGAGCTAAATCATTTGCATAAAAATGTAATTCATCCAATACTGGAGCACAAACTAATGTCTCTCTGGTTGTTTTGAAATATTTTCAGTGTTCCTGGTGGAACAACTCCAGCTGTAGGAAAGTTTATTTGTGTCCCAAGTGCAAACATTTTTTTAGCATTTTACATTTACCTCTTTCTTTCATATTAGTAAAACACTTTACAGTTCTCTTCCTGATTCTGCCAAAGACTGTAAAAACAGAAATAAACATTGTAAACATTTCACAAAAATATTTTTGGCTTTTAGTTCCTTAATATAGTGGCCATCTTTTTTCTAAGAAGCCATTACCAAAACTTTGTCAATGTATATTTAAGAGGAAATAAACAGATAAAAATGGACATTTACTGTATTAATCATGTACAGTAATACACAATAATAGGATCTGTACTTACACAGATACTGTACAGTATAACAGGCTGCATTTGAAAACTGAGATTTCCATTGTTAGAAGCTATACTATTGAAGATTTCAGAGCTAAAAGACTATAACACCATAAACAGGAAACAGGAGGATGTGAAGTATCTAAAAGTGCATTAAGTCACATAATAAGATTTTTTAGGAGAATCAGTGTACCACTGTAGTAGTACACATACAGTAACTGTTGAATAGATACAGTATGCAAGAAGTTTAGTATAAACAGTGAGTCTTTATGACATATTGGTTTAGAGCAGGGGTTCTCTGTCCTAAAGCACCACACACAAGCTGGTTTTTGTTCCAGCCAACCTCACAGTTACACAATTGAACCCTTAATTGAATTAATAACAGGATTAATTTGGAGTGTTTGAGTGTTTTCAGCTTTTAAACATGTTGGAGATTGCCTTTTAACTCTTTGCATTTCATGCAACATAAAATTCCAATCTTATGAGTGGAAAAAAATGTTCCAGTTAAGCTCTCTTTTTGCAAATAAAGCCTAAATTTAGTAACTAAGCCAGGCTGGAATGAAATCTAGCAGATATATGAGTTTCCAAGACCAGAACTCGGAGCCTCTTGTTATGAATACAATTTGTTATTAGCATTAAACCAAGTTTGGTTTAATCTGAGTCCTAGGTTGTATTTCAGTAAGATTATTGAGAGCTCCCTAGCATTCTGAGCTGCCTGTATGCCTGTCCAGAATTGAGTTAGTGCTTATGTGAAAGTATTGACCTCAGTTCTCTTGAGTTTTTATACAGTTGCCAGTGATGAAGAATTTATTCTGTGGAGTTCAGTTCTGGGTTTTGAGACATTCCATTCACTGAAGACCTACAATATGAGCAGTATTTTTTGGCCAAATAAATGTGACATTTACTAAAGTATGGTTGGTATCATTATCCTTTTAAAATGAGAGATTGTAATCAATATATCTTCCCAGATGGAGTAGGATGTATAAAGTAAGTAGGTACATTATTGAGGTACATCTGCCAATCTGTAATTCTTAATTGGTAAAATGTCCCGGGCCAGTCACGTAATTTAACCCTTACACTGTTATAACCCGGTGAGGGTTTTTTTTTCCATCTTGACTGTTGCCTCAAGAGAGTTGTTTTTTCAGTTTACCAATGATTCTTCTTGATAATTGGGTGGCAGTTGGTTCAAATTGTCTCATTTTGTGAACTTTAGCCTCTGTGCAAGGACTGCCATGTCATTTTTTTTCCCATAGACCACAATGAAGTGGTATTCTTGTGATTGTGCCCTTTTACAATTCACAATGGCATGACTACATTTCATCAGGATCTCTGTGGTTTTCCATTGACTGGATGAATTTGTATTGTATTGGAGGCGTGCTTGTACTAACAGTCTTAAATTGAAGTCAGGAGCATAAAATAGCGTATTACATAGTATAATATTGTACCACTACTAGATAACCATTTCCAGTAAGTAAACCCGTGCTACTTGAAAGGGAGAGAATGCTTTGAACCAGCATAGCAAACTGGATTTATGTCTGAAGACAATGAAGAAGGGATTCATCTGTAAAGTTCCCAAGTCCTGCAATATGGAGTTTTTGAATGTACTGCTTTGAAATATGGAACCTGAAATACAAAACTCCTGCGTCTCAAAAACAAAAATAATACTGTACATACTGAATGGTCATTTTTGTGATCCACTGAGAGCTTTGTAAATGTGGGACACACCAAAAAGTATAATGTAGCAAATAAAAGATTTAACAAATTATATATTAGTGTCACTGAATGGTACCATGGAATTATAAGAAATAAAAAAAGGAAACGTTTTTCATAAAGTTGCACAAATTCAGTCAATTCAACATTATTCGGTCTCTTGTGTTTCTGTCTCCTGGGCTATTACTGTAGTCATCAAGCAAACTCTAGGTAAAGTAATTTTTCTACTGTTAACCATGTATATAGTTTACTGAAAGGCACTTTATAAAATATTCTATAAAAAAGGAGGTTTATGTGTGTTGAATTATGTAGGATAAACTTTTGGGTGAGAAAGTCAGTCCTGATACCAGCTTGTTGAATAAGAAAATTTACAGACCCCACTTTACAGAGAATGTCAAGCATCGTAAAGCAGTGTCTTTATTTTTTATAGGCAGTCTGGTTTCAGAGAAAGCTGCCGCTACTATTTCCAAACACATTTAGAATATTTGGATTTAAGCACCTCAGAGATAAATGCCACGCTCTGTCATCTGCGAGCTGCATTTATGGTTTTCAGTCATTTCTGGTGTGTTAATTAAACCATGGGCAGAGAGAAACTAAGCCAGCAATGGGGGCCGAGAGCCCCATGGGTTTCTCTCTTCTGTAATGTGGTGACTCTATGGATTTTTACTGTACTCTTAATTAAAATGCAAATTATTACAGAAATTGTAGCATCAGGTTTGATAGCTGCCTTCAATAGTGCGACTGTCAGGTTTTCTCATTTAAACTGAATTTCTTTTTTTAATTTCTGTTCTGTGAGATATAAATATCCTTCACTGTTGTGTTCTGATAATAAGACTAATATTATTACACTTGTAAAAATGGGGAAGAATGGGCAGAATGCCAGTCAATCGCAGGGCAGACAGACACAAACACCAGGGACCAGGGCCAGGTAACCTACTAGATAACACCTCAGCACTGTCAGGCAGGAATGCTAACCACTGCACATCCTACAGTATATGCTGTGTAATATGCAGGGATTTATTAAAAAAATATATATTAAAAAACTCTGCTTAAAAAATGAATGTCTTTGACATGATAAAAGTCTACTGTCATCAGTAAAATCTGGTTTGTGGTGAATCATTCTGTTTTGTTTTTTGTAAATTGTCTAAGCAACAGAAATCTCAATGTCAGCAGAGATAATTTTGTTAACATTTTTTGAAGAAGTACAAAACATGGGACTCCCTTTGGACTCCATTGCAGCCTGATGCTAAAGAGTGGATAAAATATACAAGAATCTAGACCACTGACCAAGCTAGATTGTAGACTAATTACTAATGGTGACCCCTCTTTGTGTGCTCAACCTGTACTGTAGGTACAGTAGGTCTGTACTGTAGGTTGGTCTGCTCTCTATTATAAAAGCAAATTCTCACACAACAGTGTTGACCCAAAGACGCAGCCTTGCTAGTTAAATGTAGCCTGTAAGTGCAATAATACTTCATATAGCTGTTATGGATCACTGCATTGTGAAAAGGAAATCAGCCCATTATTTTCAAGAGGTTCCTGCACCAGAAATATCACATTGGCACCCACCTTCCTGTTTTTCATAAAGTTACACAATTACACTGCTATTATTCTGTCGCTGGTGTTGTTAACTACTGGGCCATTTTTGTAGTCATCAGGACTAGAACCTGAGGAGCTTCCCCTTGATATGGGCAGGTGGCTCATCTTTTAAAATATAATCCAATGTAGCATAAACTTGAATGGTTGGGTATTTTTTCTTCTTTTCAGGTTATTTTAGAGGATTTAATTTTTCGAATTTGTATGTGAGGTCCAAAGTTTTTTATGATATATGAACGACACAGGAAGTTAAAACTCATATACTTGTATGTTTTAATGAAAATAAATACAACTGAAAAAGTAGCTTCCCATCAAAATAATACAGAGAAAAAATATTGTTTTTAGAAGATATTTCAGAGTCAAATGAAAATAGTCTTAAGTCAGAGTTAGTTTTTCTGTATTGTCTTGCCTGCTACAGTTCTTAAGGTATTTTTAGATTATTTTTGCTCATAGGTGTTCAGGAGACAATAAAATAACCAACAAGATATTTTGTCATTTGATCTATTATCAGATCAGCTTTGAAATTATAGCCAAAAAATACATTGTCACATATTACACATAAAATATTTTTTAATATTTTTGTAAAAACAATAATATGTGTGAATTTGTATAAATACTGTATAAGTATATACATACAGTACACATCCAATATACACATACTGTATACTATATGTGTAGACCTGTATTTTTCCACTTCATTTCAGAATTCACATAACGCCATCTATGAGGTGTAACCTAATTACATTGTGCATGTTTATTCGCATTCATCCCTGCTGTCATATGTTATGTGTGCAAAAGGATTCAAGACAAATATTGAGATTTTTATTCTGACTACATCCTCAGAACCGTGAAGAGAACAAGTTATCAGTTTCTAATTAAGAGTATCGCCCTTAAAAAAAGGGCAGTTTAACATCTCTCAGAGAGGTGGTCATCTGGGATGGCAAGCTGTTCATCTTCAGAGCAGTAACTGATGTGCTGAAATGCTTGACTAGTGGTGCAGGCTGGTAAAAAAAACATCTTTTAGCAAATACTGTTGCTGCAAACGAATGTGGAGTAGCTTATCTGCAGCAGATGTTTCTGAAAGGTGGGGTTTGAACGTTACAGATTCATGTTTTTTTTTCTATGCCTTTTAATTAACTGATCTTGAGGTTTTCAAAGGAGATGATCACACTTGATGTTTGTAGATTTTTAGCTCTAAGCTGGCGATTCCTTTCATCTTTTTAAAAGGTTTAAAATCTTTATCTTTGACTGTTTATATACCGGGTACAGGTGTGACAATCAAACGGAGTGCTTCTTTTGTTGCATTAAGTGTAACACTTAGAGAGACACACCAGGTGCTGCAAGACGTCACTGAAAAAAAAAAACTCAGTTGGTTTCAAACTGTGTTGTGCAAAATTTACATATTTTTTTTTTCCCTGTGCCTTCCCCTGCGCTCACACACATGTAGGCCCTGAAGCAGCAGCAGCAGAAAAACCAGCGCAAGCAGGGAGGGATGCCCACATCATCTAACCCCCGGCTCATCCTCAAAACCGTGAAAGACATGGGGGACCAAGCGGCTTCCAAAACCGGTAGGTGGTAATCACAAGTCACCTTCACTGCAAACGAAACGGTTCGTGAAGGCAGTTGGGGGTGGGTGGAGTGCTTGTCTGGGATTTAGATGTGTGCTGAATGTGCAACAATAACCCCTTTACATGCACAAGCCGGATTTTCCACATGACTTGCCTTGGAAATCTAGAGCACCTCAAAAGAAAATTGGTAAGCTGAGCATTTGCATGTTTTTGCGTACTAAGCAGTTTCAGCAGTTTTATGTACGAACACACAAATGGGGGAGCTTGAGGAACTCATAAACCAAAAGGTTTCCAATATAATTTTGAATACATTCATGCAGTTGTTTAAATTGATTGTCACCTATAGCTTGTATTGCTTTGTGTGCCTGTTTGTATCTGTGTTTTCCTATTGGATGGACATAATAGGCTTTGACATAAATCATCATTTTACAAACGACTGCCTAATAGATATTTATGGAGGTAGGATTAGAACATTTTGAGACAGTTTAAGATAAAACCAGAAGGCTATTTTCGATTACTCTTTGGAATTCCTGAAGTATAACTAGAGTTTTGCTTGTACTGTACCATCTATGTGTCTTTTCTACCTGAGACATCTTTGTCTCTTGCTGAACGACTGTCTTCACAGTTTAAGGGCCATACTAGAAGCTCATTACATAATGTACAGTGTCCTGAAAATGATCCTACTTCAATTTGATCCCTGGCTAAATAAAAGTTTGAGATTCCAGTGCAGAGAGCCATCTCTTCCAAAGGTGACATAGTCAGGGTATTTAGGAAATCAAGTCTGAGAAAGACTGGGGTGACTTTTTCATATTTCTCTTCTGTCGGTAGTTGCTATTACTGACAGTATATTATACTTCTATCCACTTTAGATTAATAGTGAGGCGTAAAATCAATGTGTGTATTTCAAGACAATATGTTATCTACGAGGAGACAGGCTTTGTTTTTTATAAGCAACAGCTGTTGCCACCAAAGTACAAACTATCTTGACTGGAGACCTTCTACTTTTTGTACCCCAGACAAGTTTGGGATTTTTCTGATAACAGTGCCAGTGAGATTCCAGGTGATCAAACACAGTTAACTGTCTTTCCCATTTGAGAAGGAAGAGGAAAGACAACACGGCTTATGAGATATATCCTGCATAGATGAAGACATTGTTTGCTTTTCATAGACATCCAGGTGTTGACACACAGGCGGTGTGGGAGTGTTTGGTTTCTCCTGCTATAGCTCTCAGGCATAGTTACACTTTATACAGAGTTTTCTAAAAGAATTGTGTGCTTTCTTCCATGTATGAATTAGTTTATGACAAATGAATCAGTAGCACTTTCCTTGTGTTAATTGAAGAAGCAGTTCTGTCCTTCATCGCTTTTAACAATGGATAAGTCACTTATACTGTAGTTAATTCATTACCACTCAGGTTGTGGCATGCAGCAACTGTTTATTGGTCTACCATCAAAAGATTTGTTTTACAAAAAAGCAAATATTTTTTCAGTGTGTACAAACACATGGTTGTTTTCTAAAAAAAAAAGGTTTCAGAGACAGTTTGGAAACAATAGTCCAATAGCATTCTTTTGATCTTGTGTGGTTTTCTTCTCTGTAGTACCACACTTACTGTAGTAATAATAATAATAATAATAATAATTGCTTACACTTATATGGCACTTTTCTGGACACTCCACTCAAAGCACTTTACAAGTAATGGGGACTCCCATCCAGCACCACTAATGTGCAGCCCCACCTGGATGATGCAACGGCAGTCATAGTGCACCAGAACACTCACCACACATCAGCAACTGTATCAGTGGGGAGGAGAACAGAGTAATGAAGCCAATTTATAGATGGGGATTAATAGGATTAGCAAGGGGCGATATGAAATTTGTCCAGTACGCCGGGGATACACCCCTACTCTTTTCGAGAAACACCCTGGGATTTTTAATGACCACAGAGAGTCAGGACCTCGGTTTTATGTCTCATCCGAAGGACGGCGCCTGCTGAGTGCCCCCTGCTGGCCCAACTAACACCTCTTCCAGCAGCAACCTTAGTTTTTCCCAGGAGGTCTCCCATCCGAGTCCTGACCAGACTTACACCTGCTTAGCTTCAGTGGAGCTGCCAGTTGTGAGTTGTAAGGTGATATGGCAGCTGGACATACTATTATCTAAAGGCAGAAACACAGACACGCACACACACCAGCACCAGTTTTTCCAGAACCCATTTAAACTACCAGTATGTTTTTGGACCGTTGGAGGAACTGTAGCACCCAGAAGAAATCCACACCAATATGGAAACATACAAACTCCACAGTGATAGCAGCCCAGGAATTGAACCCAGTAAGAGTTTGTGTCTGTCTGCCCTGCAATGGACTGGCATCCCATTCTGTCTTGCACTCATTGCTGCCAGTACAGGGTTCGGCTCCCCTATGACCGTGTAGTGGGTAAACCAGTTAGATAATGGATAGACGAATAGCTAGTATGCCAGATGAACTCAGAGGTTTGGCTTTTACAGCTGTTATAATTACAGCAGTATTAATACCTGATCTTGTCTGATCTCAGAAGCTAAGTAAGGTTAGGCCTGATTAGTGCTGGAAAGGGAGACCTCAAAGGAAAATCACATTGCTCCTATGCTATAAGTGGTATTGGTGGACCAGTAAGTGCTACTTTTCCCAGAGTGCCATTATGTCCAAACCAATGCCCAGAGTGACCTGGCTAAATTCCATTCCGGTCTTGAACCATTTCACTTCTCTAAAGATCCCCTTTAATTCAAACTGTGAAGTCATTTCTCACTATAAATGCAAAGAAAATAAGGTTACAAATGAAATGAGTTTTTTTGTCTCATCTAGCCTGTTTGATTTTCTTGAAAGAAGCTTGAATATTAGCTTTGACAAAGATGGGTGGCTCGTTCCATTCTCCTTCAACCCTTTTGTGTAAAAAAGTGCTCTACCTCCACTGTAGGACACAGCTGGCACATAATGGCTGCTGTGCAGCATTTAAAGTGGGTGCTACACTTACTGTAAGTGGTGGATGACATGGGCTCCCTCTTGTATGTGTAAAGAACTTTGGGATCAGAATGAAAAGCACAATTAATTAGTAAATGTATTACATTTTAATACATTTGCAAATAACCTTGTAGTACCATAGACTGGCAATTTTTAATGTCTGTCCTATTAATTGTTGTTTAATTTTAGCTGAAATATAGTTAAGTACATGTTGTTCTTCAACTTGTCTCAATTAGCATTAGGTTCTATCCACATATGGCTGTTTATCTAGTGTGTCATTTGCCAAAAATATCAATTTTTTAAAGACACGTGTTCCAAAAATCTGAAGTAAAGGAAATAACATCTACACTCCTGTGTTATCACATCAATCAGGATAATCTTAAAAATTCTTAATGCTTGCTTGTTATAGCACGCACCGGCCCATCATGAATATAGCCCATATGAAAATCCTAGTAGATTTGGATTTTGTTACTTATTATATTTTGTGTGAACATTATACAGTATACTTTATACTGTATATAAATCAATGAAAAGCACTTTTTCAAATGAAGGCAACAATGCAGAATTCTTTCTTCTTTGTTGACTATTTCTATGTCTATAATAAAACCTGCAGATAAGCCTCTTTTGTGGTGTACAAATCTGTTTTGTTGTGGATGTATTTTCTTTTGGCAGTGCTGTGGCCTTCCCTTTAACATTTTAGTTAGTAACCTCCATGTAATGTTGACATTTGGATTTTAGGAGTTTTGTGCAGTATTTTGGTGCACCCAAAGCACTTTGTTGTGGCTTTGGGGCAGAACCATTGATATGAAAGGCGGGTTTCTTTATAAATGCATTTTCTAAGGTGGGTAAAGCTGCATTATGACATAATTCAGCTAGTAGAGTGCTTTTGCTCTGGAGAATAAGGCTCCTGAGTCTGCCTCTTTATCTTCACAGAATGGGAGGTGAAGCAGTCAGACAGGCGGTCCGCTAGCCCCCAGAACTCCACTTCCAGCTCCTCCTCATCCTCAGTGAAAACTGACCTGTCTTCTTCTGCCACTGCCAAGAAGGTGTCCCAGAGATCTGACAGACTGAGTGCAAGTGAGTGTGGATATAGCTGTTCAGCCTGTTGCTTTTATATTTGTGTCTAGGTGCACATCTTTTTGTGCTTTCTTCAGAGATGCACTCCACTAAAGTTTTCCACAAAGTTATTTATTTTTAGGCAAGTCAACAGTAAATATTTAACAAAGTAGTTAAAAACTACCTCAGCACCATGCCTCTTATGATTATATTGTGTTATTTTACGGTAGTTCAGGTGGAGGTCAAGTTCTAATCTTGCACTTCCACTATCCTGCTCATAAGAGTTTCCAGACACAATGCAGTGCTGCACACATCTTTTATAGCACTCTGCATAGTGCTTCATTGTAGACAGACTAGTGTCACATTCAGCTTTGCTGGGACATTACCTTCATCATGTACATCCAGGATCTGAGTTGCTTTCTTATCACTTTAGCCCCAAACCTACACCAAAAGCAAGAGGCCTTACACCCACCATAGTGTTTGCATTTTTCTTTCTGGTCTCCTGATGTCAGAAAACCTTCCAGAAATTACAAACAACTGCTGCAGTTTTGTCCCCCTTATCCTTCCCTCTCTCTTTCTAATCTTGCATGTTCCATTCTCCTTCATTGCCTCCTTCTTGTCTCCATTTCTGGTCATGTCACATCCCAGTGTGTGTTCTGTGTGTGTTTTTTCTGTTATGTCCACACTGCTGACCCCTGATTGTTCTCCCTTCCCCATTGGCCAACCATCACACCACTGTTTCAATATGATGTCATCATCAATCAGCCCTCAGCCAATCAGAACTCATTTTATTCACTATATAACATGGAGGCTTTCAGGAAGAAAAGGACTTTCGTTTGACTTTGGTCCCGTTTGGTTTTGGTTATCGCTTCGTTCCTGGTTATTGCTTCGGCTTCGTTTGTTGGTTTGTTTTGCTTTGTGTTTGTGTATTTTCGTATAGCTTCGGATTTATTGTTTTGTTGGTTTTACGTTAGTTTCTTTGTACTTTCGTTTGTTTGTGTGTTCATCCTTGTTTTGTCATTACCTTGCCTCAGTGTTACATGTTCAACTTTTGTGTTCTTTTGTACCCTGCTCCTGTTGATTACTCTTGTTTTCCCTTATTTGTATTCCTGGTTCACTTGTGTTTTTGTGTGAATTTTTGTGTATAAGGTTAGTTTAGGTTGTTGGGTACACTTAACACACTTAGTTGATTTTGTACTAGTACACTAGGTAAGTACGGGTGAATGCCATTTGTCTTGTATGGTTTTGGGTAGTCAGTGCAGGTTAGCTAGGGTGTTGAAGACGCCGAAGACCGTGTGTTTCGGGTTTTCTTTTGTAGTCAGATTAGCTTTCCCTCACTGTCCTAGCCAGCTCCATTTTGTTTGTTATTTTCATTCCTTTGGCACCACTCTAGTTCCTTACCCTTGTTATCACGCTTCCTAGTCCCTCACCAGAATCCCCCTGCTTCCAAAATAATTATCCTAAATGTTACACTCCTTTACCCCTAGACACTTGGGGTCGTAACAGCCCATGTTCCACACCAACAGCTCAAACATATATCTGTTATTTTGTCTCTCACCCTACTATCTTTCTTTCACTGTCCACCACAGGGGCCTCCAGTTGCAGACTCCCACTCTTCCCCTCAAGTGCAAGCATACTGCATCACCAGACCTGGGCTTCCTTATTCACTCTCATGCTGTCCCTAGTGCTCAGGCCTGTGTAGCTACAGCTAAAGCCTAGGGAATTAACCCTTTTTATTTATGTGGTTTGTGTCCAAGTGGTCAATGTCAGCCCTCAAATCTTCCCCCTACCAACATTTCCAACTGCATATGCAACTTATATTCATTCTCATTCAGGGTTAAGCTCGGAACATATTCTTATCCATTACATCCAGCAAACAGCCCCTCTCATTTTCCACATCAGACTACTCTTGTAGGCCGCTGCAGTGTTTTTCACTACCCACCACATATTCACGTATTTCACAGCATATTCAAATCTACTAATTCAAACAAACTCAAGAGTGCATCATGTGTGTTTTTCATTATTTACACACACAGTCTGCTCAGTTCTACAAAAACCTTGGCTGAACTGACTTGCTCTTACTGTACCTCAGTGTTTGAAATCTGCGTTGGTGTTTTTTTAGGTGAATGTGACAGCACTAATTGCCAGCCAGCATTGTCCTTTCCACAGCCAGGCACATTAAAGCCAGAGCACTAACCACACCGTCCCCAATATTAGAATTTGACCAAGGAACTGAAGTGGTGTTATTGAGCAGACAGTGGGGTGGAGGTCAGATTCTAATCTTGCACTTCCATTTCCGAGCTCATAAAAGCTCCAGGGGTGAACACAAGAACTGAGCACATCTTTTCTAGCACAACTCTCTCCATTGCAGCAGTTCTCCCTGATTCATACCTCTTTAGTGAGGAGGGATGTGGAAGCGCTGTTCTCTGACCAGTTGTGTCAGGCAAATTAATGTCAAAGTAGTAAACACACTATCCCTTTATATTCATTGTTTTGTTTTGGCATTATAAGTATTTGACTGAACAACTGAAAAGACTGCTAAATGCTACATCACGGCAGCGTCCACAACATGTCAGCGACTTGCTGTTTTTGGAAAATCACCTTTTGTCTAAAATTTTCAGAGACATAGATTTTGTATTTGTAAGGTGTTACATAAAATTTGCACAATGGTAACATTACATTCTGTTGTGATTTTGTGAAAAAAAGGTTTTCCTTTAAAGAGGAATCTGGTAAACTTGTAGCTTATGGCCCTTAGGGTTCGTATTGTAACAAGCAAAGTATTTATCTTTTCCCTAAATAGTGAAGAAAAAGTATTAATTGGAACAACCAAGAGATCTTTGGCAGTAGATATTTTAGTTTGTGTTTTATATATGACAGCTTCATAACCAGTAATAAAACAATAATATAGGTATTATGTAAAATGCATGGTATCCCATGCATCCCTTTGTAATATTATTCAAGTTTGAAATACTCAGAATAATGACATTATTCTCCCTGAGACAAAATTGCACAAGACAAGAATAATCAAGAGATCTTTTATACATTGAAGTGACGTGTTTGACATGAAGATACATAGGAGTATTAAAAGTGACACTAAAAGGATAGAATGCTGCACAGGTGATACTTCATTTTACCTGTTCTCTCAATCTTTCTGTTTTACCCCTTAAGCTACAGCATGCTAAAAAAAAAAAAAACTGTCAGATGCCTTTGCCAAGC